ACCACGGTCAATAATAACTTTGAGACAGTTAACAGAAGACACGTCAATTTTCCAGTCAGACTAAAGAACTGGGGGGGGAGGGGGGGGGCTTGTACAGGAAAAATGCAAAGGGCAGAGTACAAAGAATAATACAACAGGAATGTGAAATCCAGTCTTGTAACTGATTTAAAAACCACAACTCTGTCCTTTAAAATTACTGGAAATCACATCAGTGCTCGTTATTTAGCAAAATCTTGAAGAAATTAAATATAATCTATGTTCATTTAAAAAAATCACAAGTTTTAAAAATATCTGAAAAATTTTAAAAAGTTATAAAACCTGACTCCAACACTTATTTATTTGCCATTTCACTGCTGGTAGGCTGCAAGGTGTCCTCAGACAAAACCTGTTCTTCTGAAGCTGAAGTTGTCTTTAAACAACCTCAAGCATTCAAAGCCAATGTATCTGCAACAGAGTGAGCAGCAACACTAAAGCTCATTTTTCTTCAAAGGTAGAATTTTTTGCTAGTCACTGTGAAAGAAGAAACTTCAGGCAAGTATATACCTAAGGAAATTTTGAATATGCAACAGAATTCCACAAGGTTTCAAAAAAGTGCTATGGTTTTCAGTATTGTTGCAACAGACCAAGTTTGATGTATTTGAAAGACTGATGAAAAGGCTTTCCCTGAAACTGACAAACTGAAAAATCTGCAGCTTCGATTTCTCATTCTTCTACTCTACTTTACCAACTTGAATCTCTGTTTCTTCAAAGGGCTCTACATTAATATTTGTTGTGGTGCAGCTCACGTATGCTGTGGTATTAACATCTTAACCTCCTCCAAAGAAACTGTGTTCTATAACTTAGGCTACACAATTTTGTGACTATAAATGTCACCTACTAGTAAAAACCTCAGTATTTTAAGCACTTCAACAGAGGCATCTCCGCAGAAGAGGAAACACTGGTAATTGACATTTACATGCCACTAGTTCAGAGACTACACAATCACATTACCAAAACCACATACAGCACAAATGCAATGCAAGGGAAGAGAGGGAGGGGAGCAGTGTGGCTGAAGGACTACCTGAGCAGCCTTGGAAAACGCGTTCCATTAAGAGAAAAGGTACCCAAACATCTTAAAACATGTTCCCTCCCCCTAAGAATCTTAAAACACAATGATAATAAAAAGATAAATATTAATATAGAGCCCATCTACCAAAAGAGAATAAAAAACCTAAATTAAAATAAATTTAGGGGCCTTCACCAAACTTGCTGCAAGTTTGGGGACATAAATATCCAACAGCTATAAAGCTGTGAAAGCCCCCAGAATGAATAAAATAAATCCCACTTGCCTCAGACTGAACAGGGCAACACTGAGACTCTGCCTCAGCCTGTCCTATGGCAGGGCTATAAGAAGAAGAAAAATTTAAATTTTAGAAAAAACATGACCCAATTAAGTGAAAGACATGCATTCAAAGTTAACAAAATTCCAGTGATCAAGCAAACAAAAGAAAATGACTGCTATAGCACCTATTTTGTTAGGCCCAAATAAAACTTTTTATAGTTGGTAGCTATTTCTGATTTGGACAGTTTGTTTTGCTTTGTATCTTGATCAATGGAAAAGAAGTCAGATGTCTTGGGGCATTTTTCCCATAACTGATAGTATTTACTGTACTAGTTCACAAAAAGTAGAATTAACGATTCCATCAGCCACTGAAAATTTTCACCCTCACCTTAGTATTTATGTAGAAGCTAGACCAGTACAATTATTAAGATGTTTACTATGAAGTGTCATTAGTTACCCTATTAAATTGCAGCCCCAGCTCATGGACTGGTATATCAATTTAACTGAAGAGTCATAAAGCCCTTCTTGCTGTTTGTATAACTGAAGTGATCTTGGCATTTCGTTTTTTTATCTTATATCTGGAATTCTTTGGTTCCCATAAAGTAACTGCAGGTTATTTTATTCCATTCAATTTGTCCAAGTTTTAAGAAAGTCAGTTACACAGTTCTACGTAAATACTGTTCAAGAGCTTCATACACTAAAATAATTGCAGAAACCATAGTAGGGGGATGCAGCTGAATCTGTTTCTAGAAGCTTGTTTATATACTCCCATGCATGCACAGAGTGAGGAATAGTTATCCACTGAAATTATTAGATATACATCCCAGCCTCAAATTTATTATCAGCACCTAAAAATCTCATCTGTGGAAGAATAAATACATCCAAAGGTCCAGAAGAAAAAATTTTTAGTCTATATGAGCCAGCTAAATTTTCAGTATTTTATTTAAAGCAACCTTTGCTAAAGGCAGAAAGATGCTCTAAAGGCAGTACCAAACAATCATATCAAGGCTTCTGAAGAACTAGCCTGGGCCTTTCCATGGTTCTTTCATGCCAGCCTCACCCCTTTTGCTCTAAAAATCAGTAGATATGAGATCAGCCTCTCATGATGATATTGAGATAAAGTAATTTAGAACCTTTTAAAACAAATGCCAGATGCCATAAATTCTAATATTTTGCTAAACATATTTTCCCACCTGTGTCTGAACATTTTCTGCAGCCTGGGTTTTTTTTCTGCAATTTTTGCATTACATTCCAATTTAAAGACTGATCAAAACCCACTTGCAAGTTTTAACTTTACTGTAAGATTTGCCATGGCAAATTTAGGCAGCAACTGAAAAACAAAGATCTGCCTATGTAATTATAGCACTAGAGTCCTGCAACAGATATAAGAGATGCTTTTCTGTAATCCTAAAAGCTTCTGCAATCTCTTTCCAAAAAGAGAGATTTTTGCTTTATAACTAAAGCAAAAAAATGTTTGCATTGTTGCGCTATATTAATAAACATAGTTGTGCCAGCAAAATCCCTAAACTTTGTACTGTAAACCAAGCCTTAGTCTTTATACAAGCAGTTACTACATTCAACGTAGTTTTCCTCTTTTTTTTGGAAAATGCACCATAAATCCAACTCTCTGAACATTAAGAAGCAGTATCCAAAGAAATGAAGGCAGGGACGAACAGACAACATACGCACTGAAAAACCCGCCTCTTTACAGAAGAGTACACACGAGACACAAGAGTAACTGAAGATAGGCACATCACAGCTCTTACAGCACAGAAATGACAGGAGCAGGAAAGTAAATATCCACATGAAAAATCATGGAAAAATTGTTCACCTGCTTGCTGAAGATTATTAGAGTACCGTATGAATAATACGTGGCAGTACTTAGTTGAAGGATTATCGTAACATTATGACTAAGCAAAGTTCAATATTAAAATGTGTCCAAGCTACAAGTCTATGTAGTATTAGCTACAAAGTGGTACCATTATCAGAACAATTAGACATTCCCTATTTAAGAGGGAAATTCTTAAATTAATACAACTTGCAGAATATGCTGAGTTAACAGTACATGCAGTAAGGTTTTCAGGTATTTATCCCAGGAAAAGTAGGGGTCTGAAAACAACATACCAATGAGTTACAGAAAGACACGGAAGGGAGAAGGTATTTACTTTACTAGGGGCAGGAGGGCAAAGCATCCTTACAGCAGCAGTATGATCTTCAGAAAAAGCAACAAGTTTTATAGTTTTAAAAGCAGAAATTAAGATCCATTTATAATATATGAACTTTATGTATAGTATTACAAAAAAGATTAATGTGAGACGCTGTAAAAATCTCTCCAGTGTTTTGTAATTACCCTTATTAGATAAACAGAAGAAAACTAGAGTACAAAAGCATTGCCTAAGCAAAACAGTTTTATCTGTTAGGCTTATGTATAAAGCAAGATGAAGAACTAACAAAAGATCTGACATCAAGGCCCACTCAGCACATTTGCAAGCCAAATACTGCGTATCTGACAGGTGATCAGCAGGTATCAGTGATCAGAGAGAACTGCTTCTCAACAGAGGCTTGGAGTTATGGTCTTAAAACTGCCAAACACTTCCGAAGAGTGCCTGACAATTCTTAATAGTTAAACTAAGGCCATTCAGCCGCAATTAGAGTGTACTGGATGCTCTAGTGCTTTTATCAGCTACTTCATGACCCCAAGTTTGAAGCTGAGAGACAATGTAGTATTTTAGCTGTACTGTATTTCCAGACTATTAAAAGACAGTACAGAATAAAGCCACACGAAGTACTTACAAGCAGCTAAAATAACCCCAAGAGTTTCAAGAAAAAGAGCCAAAATGCTCAGTATTATAATTAAGTGAAAAAAAACCTCCACCATCTACAAAATCATCTATGGAACATAAACTGACAGAAAAATGCTGATAATCCTTCTAACCTACCCTAAGGAAGAGATATCCCCATAAATTAAATTGCACAGATAAGGCTTGAGGCTGGAACATGTATTTAAAGTTGACCTGCAAATGAAAAATTCACCACTCCTTTTTTCCCCCCTGTTGTGAAGAGACCAGGGAAGCTCTCACTTCCCTTCCCTCCAATAAGTCTCCCTCTACATTTTCGTTCTCATTAGAAATGCAGAAAACTAACACAGTGATATTAAACATTCAGAGAATTACAACCTTGGCAGTAATTTATCACTCTACTCTTATAAACAGACAAATGACTAATTCATACAGGGAAGACCTCTCTTTGATAATGCAATTAGGAGAACTGATAAAAAGGTCTCTTACTCTAGACACTTTCATTCATTAAAAGGCTCAAGAAACTCAGCCAACATCTGATCATAACGAATGGTCATCTTTCAGACTCTGCCGAGATCTGAAATTCTGAACACTTAAAGCAAAAATACAGCACATATTACTTTTGCCCCTCTTGTCTCTCCTACTACACTGAGAAGAAAATCAAGCTCCTTTTTCTCTTTTGCAGGTCAACTTCAATACAACATCAACTGGAAGTCACTCACCCGTGTGACATGCACCTAAGCTTCTAGAAATCTTCATCTAAAAGGCTCCTGAAATTCATATGTACTTGCAAATTAAAAAGAGTCAGTCGAAGAATGAGCTAACAGGACACACCTGGCACTAGGATGCATCTCAGAGGAATCACTTTTACATCCTACAAGTGCCAGGACTAGAAATCATTTAAAATTTACTGAGGACAAGAAAGCACAAGTAAAGAAACATATGCATTAAGAGAAGTTACAACCAAGAGTTAAGATGTGCCTCCTGCAGCCTCATTTTTGAGGAGTCAGTTAATAAGTGTACAGGTCTTTGTCTACTCAGATGAGCAGCTAAGGAGTGACTTAGTTTTAGAACAAGGAATTCAGATTTTATCAGAACAGCACCAACAACTGTGTTCATTACACCAATAGCTACCACAGCATGCATCTGTACAAACCTTTCAGGCAGTTGTCCACAGCTGGTCATGAATAAAAAGGCATATAAATTTTTCTCTTCTTTTATTACAATGAAGTTTATAACAGTACAGAAAAGTCACACGACCTTAGTGGGTCAGTTTACTTAAACCCTGAAACAGGAGGAACTCTAAATACATTAAATATTGTTACAAGTTCAGACTTAAATGTACAAGTAGTTGGGAACAGTTACAGCCCTCACCAAACTATGTTGGGGACATGAAGTCCAACAGCACTTGAAGTGCTGTGAAGGCATCATTTCACAAATAGCAACGTAATGTTACAGAACTTGCCTTTAAGGTGGTATGTTCATGTAATTCCAGCGCCTTCACAATTTAACGAACCATATTTACTATACTTCACTTCTAAAAACCTAGATGAAACATGAAAAAGAAGCCATACAGTATAAATTGCAACATCAGGAAAAGTTCCTGTTATTATTCCAAATAATTTTTCCCGTGTAAAATAAGAATGTCCAATAGCTCCTTGCATGTGGGAAGATACTTATTTTTTTTTAAAGTCACAATGAAGCCTTAATTGACGGAAGCTCGGCTATATTAACAGCACAAGATGAGAAAAGGTTTAATCTCCAAACCTATTAGAGCGTGTGTAGTAGCATCAGTAGCGGCCACCTTGCGACATTACAGGAGGTCTCATTCCCATTGGAGGTCGAGGAGGTCCACTTTGGTAAGGGGGCACCATCGGAGGTCCCTGACCGTATGGAGGCATTGCTCCAGGAAGATATCCTGGCATGCCCTGGTGATGAGCACCATACTGACCTATAAACAGAACATTTAAGATGCAAACAATACTTTTTTTTTCCCCCATAAAATAATGGGTAGAAATTGCATTTTGTGAAAAGCTACACCCCCCTGCCAGTATATGCCACTTCAAGTTTTAAAAAAGTTTATGGCAAAGACAAATCTTTTCAAGAAAATGAAACTTATGATTACCATGAGGTGGCATGGGAGGTCTCATTCCTTGCTGCTGTGGAGGAATCCCTGGCTGTGGTGGCATCATACCTCCAATTGGTCCAACTGGTGGATTACCCAAGGAAGCCTGTCCTGGTCGAGGAAGATTACGCTGATATTTAGGCAACTGTGCCCTTCTCTCTTCCTAAAACAAGGATGGACAACCGTAACACATTGTAAGACTAAACTCACCATAAGCAAAGTAAATAAAAAGCGTAACAAAGCAGATTACAGGTACTAAACTATTTCAACTACCACAGGTTCAAAAACTCCTACTAGTAACATTACACAGTAACATTTGGATTTTTCCCCCTTCCTTCAAAGTTACTGTATTAATATGGGCCAATGCAGCAACACAAATTCTCCTCGTCCCTCAGCTGAGTAACAAGTTGAGACAAAAAAGACAAACACAAATCTAAAGATATCTGAACTGAAATTGTTTCATGTGTTTCATCCATAAATCCTAGATTGCTGACTGCTGTAATAGCACCAAGACCACTTCAAACTGTTAAGTCTTTTGTCCTACGGTCATTAGCCATATGTATTTAACTCAAGCTTAAGCCACACGTAAAAAAAGTCCAAATTAGATTTTGTGTTGAGTAATTTCCTATCACCAACAAAAGTAAGTCTTGGATCTGCAGCAAGATTTGCCAGTCATCACTTTGCAATCAAAGAAGTTTTCTGGATGAACGGTTCTGTTACGTTAATTCTGCAGCTTGCACTCTTACCATCAGTAAAATACGCATAATGCAAAGCACAGAAGAAATTCTATTTAATCAGATATATCAGCATAAACTGCGTTTTTCAATAAGACAATGTAAATATTTTAACTTACCAGTGATATATCCTCATCTGGATGGATCAACTTACTGGTTGCACTGGTTGTTGTGAGGGTAGCTGGCTTACTTGTTATAGATGTAGCTGGTTTAGCTGCAGTACTGTTTGTCGTGCTAGTGGTTGAGGCTGTAGACTGTGTGTAAGCTGGGAATGTAGGTTTTGGGGGTTCTGTTGTTGTTGCAGGTGTAGAATTCAAAGGTTTGAAATCAGTACCAACTGGACCTGGAACAGCTGCTGCAGCCTGTGAAACACAGAGATAGATCAATATTTATTTCTCAAAGCATAAGAAAACTTAAATGATGTCTGTTAGAGCTCTGAAACCTTCCAGTGAGATACAGAATTAAAACAAGCTTGACAAAAGTAAAGTTCAGCCTTATTGCATACTAGAGCAACCGAAAACAAGACAAAATAAAACCCAGTATATACACACATATATACACACACACACACTGGAAAGTCTAAAATTTGCAGGTCAAAAGCCACAACTAGAAAAAAGGAACAATAACAAAAAAAAAAAACACTATAAAAATTTTTATCCCAAATACTCAGTTTGGCAAATGTCTACCTATTCTAAATTACTGTTTTATTAAGAGCCTATAAGCATAAATTCGTTGTTCTCTCCCTAAATTATTTGCATACTTTAGCAACCATTAGCTTAGAGTACAGCTCAGTGTTAGTATTCATTACAATTAACTATATAAGAAATGTTTTAATTAAATACTTAAGAAAGCGCTAGTGTGTCACGGTTCTTGTTTTAAGCGTTCTCTCTATAAAAACACTGCAGTATTTTCACAAAGTACTATGTCTCTCTGTAGATCTTTAATCTTGTGTGCAAACGAAGAATCAACTGAAGGCAGACATGAGGTCCACTACAGATTCCAGTATCTCATCTTTGCTATGTTTTTCTTAAATTAAAACTGTTAGACAAGAAAGGTTTGCTTTACCAAGCTTTCTCTGAAGACGCAGCAATCTCCAAAGCAAGCTTTAGTTATGAGAGAATGCTTTTGGTTTTAGTCACTGTACAATTATCTGAACTTTCCAATCAATACAAAAATATTTCAATTTTTTGCACATAATGCAAATTACAAAATTCCCTACATTATCGTGTACCATATTAAACAACATAAACTAAAAAGCCTTCACCATGCATCAAGCTAACCACTGCCCACTAAAATGCATTTAACTGCTTTCATGCTTCTTTAACCCTTTAGAACCAGGATGTAACATTTCATTCTTTCATGCTAAAAAATACTGGGCACTTTGACATGCTTATTTCTAGTAAAATGCAACTCACAATCAAGGACTCTGCAGTTTTACCAGCTAAACATAATCAGGAATGTAACAGATATTATCTGAAGATGTTTAGTCAAATTTTAGATTTTACAGAACGGTCCAAAGGGTTAAGTTGCAAAGCAATTTGTTTTCAACTGTGACTTCCTGCGTACTTGTGCTGTGCTAGGAAACAGAGCGTTAGAAGATGCTGACAGACTTTCTGAATTGGAGGAAGCTGCACTTGAGCTTGTGACAGGTGTCCCCATCTGTAGCATAAAAGAAAGGAAACAGTGAAAAGTCTCCAAACAAATGGGTGGAAAGTATCCAGATGAAAGGATTTCTTAAGCTAAGTCCTCTCTTATGAAAGGACTGTGTATTTGTAAACAAGTATCTTCCCTGCAGAAGTCCCAAATGCAAATAGTATACTATGAAGGTTTCTGCAACACACTTGAAAGCAAGTAAAAACTTCAGGACTTACACACAACTGCAATCAACGGTAGAGGTCACAAGCCACTATCAATTCCCCACTTACTCCCCAAAAACATTTAAAGACATTTTTGCTACCTCAACTTACTCCTTAACTTTTTAAAGTAAAAAGACTCCCAATGCAGGCAATGTTTAACCAGTTTAACAAGACTACAGAATAAATTAGTCCATCTATCAGTAGAGAGCCCATTATGAAAAGAACAGGAGAGTACAAGTCATATCCAGATTTATACTTTGGAAATTTTAGGTAAAGTTCCATGCAATCAGATTCCTGTAGCTGACTAACGTGTCCCTTCGCCCACCCAAAGTACAAACTCAAGAAGTGTTCTGCCTACTCTTTTCTTCCCCATCTGCTTACTCAACTTCTGTCTGGTTTCATGGCTGTTACAAGACAAACAAAAGAATCATTTAAAATTCATTCAAGCACTACACTGAATTAAACTTAAGAATCAACACAAGCAAGAAACTTAACCAGTCATTTCTTGGGCTGCCTTAATAATAAAGAATAGACACTGCTCACACAGTGGCAATTTGAAGAATGTAACAACAGATTCTGGGCTATGAGGTACCTTACCTGCCCCGCACTTGGGAAGAGTGGTTTAGTAACTGGAGGCTGGGGGGTAGGTGCCGATGCAGCAGGAGCTGGAGGCCTGTTAAGAATGCCCGGTGCTGTAACAGGCTGTGCTTGTGTCATCGGAGGCATCCCAGGACGAGGACCAACAGGTGGTGGCATACCTACAAGCCACAAAAAATTGTTAACCCATCAGGCTGAAGGAAGTAAGAATATTCCTTTAGAGGATTCAGTTTGGTGTTGCCTAAAACAGTGTCTTCCTCAAGGAAGATGTATTTTTAAGGCAACAGTAAAAGAAAACGTGACAAAGGGTACTGTCAGCAGTCACCAATAAACATCCACACATAGGCAGTAACCTCAAACACTTCAGAGCAATACTGAATTAAGTTCCGTTTTCTACAGAAGCTTCAACGATGAGGAACTTTATGCTTTCAATAAATCAATGCAATTAATGCTGTAACGGTTTCCAACACACTGCATCTATGCGGCCAAACGCGTGGGTAAGACTGTTACAAAATCCACAACATGCAGCTATTATGAACACCATCAGAACTTTCACCAAAACACAGATCAGCTTTGCTAGCGGCTTTTGAGCACAGTGGAACAGTGACACAAGACTACTTTTTGTAGCTTATCAACACAATACACGCACTTAGTATGTGTGGGGCTCTAGCAGAGGTTCAGAGATAGGAAGGTAACAGCTCATGGGTTCCATCATATAACTGCACAGGATAACTAAGCTGTAACTGTCCTACTGGCTTGGCTCCTCCTCCAGTGAGAAATGTGGGCAAATCTCAAGCCATCACAGCATAGCTGCTGGTCAGGTGGAACACTCTGAGAACTTAAGGCTGCTTAAGAGCTGCACAAGCTCAAGAAACAACTCTTCTAGCTATGGTAAGAGACAAAAATACCAGTTTGTTTCTTCACACAGCAGGTTCATTACGTGAGTATGTCACCAACACTTATTTCTCACTTCCCGCAACATTTTCAATCATTACAATTTTCCAGCAGCAGCCACAGACATTAAAAAAAGGGATAAAGAAAGACGAGGCAACACAAAAGCCAGAGAAAGTGCAATAGGAAGAGAAAACCGTATTTTATTTTTTACCTTCACAATGGTACCAAACACAATTAATTATTTATCATCAAAAGCCGTAAGTGAACCCCTCAACCTACGCACAAGAGTGGCTTTTGTGGCAATCAATCCACACCAAGGTGGTGGCATATGTCTGTATATTCTTTATATAATTCCTAAATCTCAGTGGAAATAAACAAACATAAATTAGCTCTCACCATAATATGAGTTTTACAACCCTGACCTACCTGGTGGCATACCAGGCATGAGAGGTGGTATTCCTGGCCCAGGAGGCATCATTCCACCCATCGGCATCATCCTATTAAACAGAAAACGAACACTGGTTTGAACGCTCACAATAAACTCTCAAGACAACTGGCACATACCTGTATTAGATTAAAAAAAAAAAAAAAGGTAAATAATTTCAAGAAGCCCTGAACAGAGGCAATTCAAAACCATCTGACTCCACAGTTAGAAATGTTTTTCCACAAGAGAAAACAAAACCATACAAAAAAAACCTCCATTTGAACTTTAATTCCTCAAGCTTTCACTTCCACTATTATTGGATTTCCGGAATTGGTGTCTCTCTTGAAATCTATTTCAGGCTACTAGTTTCAGCACAGTGTTCCAAGAACCTCGTATTGGTGCACTCAGAAAATCTGAACATATGAAAACCAGCTAATTCCAATCAGACTAAAATGGCTGTACATCTGCTATTACTCCTTTCTGACACCGTAAGTCTATTTGTGGTTACAGCACCCTCATACTATTTTAACATACTCTCCTTCCTCTTTAAAATTGCAGACGACCCAAATCTGTAAAACTATCCACAAAATACTGATAAAAGCAGAGCAGATACCACAGGATAAGAAAGCTTCTGGAGTTTCAATTACGGTAAATACTCCCTATTCTAAGATTTTTAATTATTTTTTTTTAATGAGAAGTCCTTATTATGGTATATTTTTCCTTCATATTAAAAACAGGCTTTTTTCCTTGCTACTGATACCTGGAGAAAAAAAATTGGTCTGTACTTCCTAACAGAAAGGTAGCGTCTAAATTTCTCCTTTTATCCTTACCTACTAAACCACAATACAAATTAATACATGTTCCCCATCTAAACTATACATACAACCCTTAATATAAGCCAATTCCTCCTGCACAGGGCTGCAACTCCATAAAAAATAAGCTGTCTACAACACTAAGTGCTTTAAATTGGGAAGCTACAGATGAACATATACGATTCTTTTACAGGGAACAAACCAAGTGTAGCTAAGTTTGCTTAATTTTTTCCAGATACTTGAAGCTGGATTAGGGAAACAAAATAAAAAAATGTTTATTACTTTAGTCAGCAAGATAAGCAGATACATAGCAGCCAAGCACCCACCAAAACCCCACTAAGAAGCAGTTTCTGTTTGTATGACAAAGTCAAGAAACCTGCACCATTGCTGTTTCAAAATCAAAACAAATCGTCATAAACAGGCAAGCATTCATTCTGCAAAGCAAATTGCTACCCAGTCTTATTTTTCTTCTCAACTTCTCTACCACTGCTGCAAAAGGAACAACCAATGCAGAAGCAACAGTGACTGGGAACATAGTACCACTGCTCCTTTTCTGGGTTAATGGCTGGAGAAGGCAAACAGTCTTGCCACCCATTTTGACAACTATCTGTTAGACCCCCCCCAAAAAGTGCTGGTTGCTTGCCACCAGAAAGACGACCTTCTGAGAAACTGCAGGGGTAGTGCTAGAACTGGTGTCACGCTAAACCCAAAGTTGCTTCCTAGGTCTTAATTCTTCTTTGCTCATTTTGAAACAGAAGATCATCAAGTTAAGCAAGCAAAATTTTAGACTAAACTAGGTAAAAGCATAATGCAACACTACCCCTCTCCCCTTTCACCAAAATGAAAGGGCACTGAACTTTTGGCAAATTAATTTGTCTCTTACTAGATGACATTACATTCACCTGAAGTTAACAAAGAGTTTAAGGAGGACTAAGCACCAGCAAGCTTCAGAAAATTCTGTTCAGTTTCCACACAGAAAAGCTAGTCATGATAAGCATTCACAAGATGTTCAACTATGGCACGATTTTTAAATTCTAAGACTGTTAAAACAACATTTATGTCTCAGAAGAGAACAACCTTTCACATCAGTGAACTTTAAAACTTAGAAACAAAGTTCCTGCAGTATGTCCTACAGTGTAAAGGACTGAGCACATGGAGCTGCACTCTGGTTCAAAAGACATTATATGTCCCTAAGGGTCTATTTGGTCAATATTTTGTAGAATGCATTTCTCATAACATGTAGGTTTGTAATATTCATTTAAATAAAGCATAAAAACTTCAGCTATTATACAATAACAAAACCAGACATTTTCCCCAAATTCCTAGGCAACATTCAGAGGTTTTCAGTAAGACAATTTCAAGCTTATCAAAAACATGACATAAAATGGCATAATGAAGGTACCTAGAATTACATTAATGAGATGCTTACATGTTTCCACCACAAAATGACTGCATGTATTTTCTCTGTTGATGTAATCTGTGAAAATTTATGACAAAATCAAAAATCTAACTGTGATTTTCCAAACACACTGTGACAGGGTACGGTGTCAACCCCAAACAAGCATAAAACCCACATATTACTTTTGCCCAAAATACAAGAAAAAATTAAATTATCCAGTATTTTTCCTGTTAAGTTGATAACTGATAACCAGATGCACAACATATGTGCAATACACAAAGGAACAGTAGTTCACAGAAGGCTCTAAACCAACACAACAAAGCTTTAAGTTATTATACTACTACTCAATAAAGTTACAAGAAAGCCAACATACTTTATAAACAAACTCAACAGTTTGGCCATATTTTTAATGTTGGTTTACAGCCATCCAGTTCTTTGGTTAGTCTTAATATTAAGGTTATAGAGTTCACAGGTTCCTATGTATATTTTTCTAATTAACTTTACTTTTTCTGTGACAGTTTAAAACACACCGTATGAACACGTAATACTAAGTCTTCCTTGCTACTCACCCAGGTGGCATTCCAGGCATAACTGGAGGCATTCCAGGCATCATAGGTGGAACACCTGCCATTAACGGTGGTATACCTTGAAAGAAACATAAATTTTAAACAACTCCGACAACATACAATCCACTAATAAATCTCATCTAATAAATTTAGACTGGATAAATGCTTTACAGGAAACTCTAAAAGATTGGGGTTTTGGAATAACGCTGCTTACAAACAATGCAATATAAAAAGATTATCTACAAATCTGACTTCATTGTCCTCAGTCCTGCAAGACTCTGTAAATTTACCTAGTAGCCTCCAAAGAACATTCCTTATCATTACCGAAAATCTAATGAGACCAGTTTTTGCTCGCTGTCACTAACCAAAATTCCTTCCTCAATGTATTTGTGGCCTGGGTAAAAACTGCTTGTTCTGTGTCAGCAGCATCTAGATATATGGCAGCCTTTCTGCCCTGTTTCCAAAATCTTGTTACAAAATACCACAAACAAATATAATTGGTAGACTTAATGTTTAAAGTATTAATCTGTCTTACTGCTATATTAACATTCCCTTAATCTAGATGCAAACATTAGGTATCTTATCTACTTCACAATAGAAAACGTGTGCGCACACAGAGAATGGGGGAAGAAAATGAAGAAACTGCTTCTGTGCACCTCACAAAACTATTTTGTGACCTCTAGCACCCAGTGTTAGAAAAGGGCAGATTATTATTCCAGCATACAAACAGCAATTTGTGTTTCTACACAGCTTTTCTGCAACTAGCTTAAAACACCATCTCACCTGGAGGCATCCCTGGTGCACCGGGCACAGGAGGCAAACCTGGTTGTGCCATTGGGGGAATGTACCCCTGCTGTGGCTGAACTTGCTGAGGTTGAAATGAAGTTGAAGCTGCAGATTCATCATCTTCATACTCATCAGAATCATCCTGTTGTTTCTTTTTCTGGCTTTCTGCTAAAGAGTATAAGGTATATGGTCAGACTGAAGGCAAATGACATTCTACAAAATTCATTTTATCTATGGTATTCTAGCTGGAACAAAAATAAGAAAATTCAGATCTTATCAGCACGTTCAAAAATTCACGGAATTACAAAGAAGAAAAACTAACTGAGCCTACCTGTATATACAGTAATAAAGGGAAGGAAAGTGGCTCAGACTGTGATAACTCTCAACATAAACAGGCATATTCCTTCACATCAGTCTCATGCTGTCCAGAACAAGCCAAAGCAGTTCAGACAAAGGTCTACTTAAACAGCAAAGAAATCTAAGTATTTGGGTATCATCAGGCTTGTAACACCCCTGGCCCTTCCTCCCCTTACTCTCAAAAATAAAATCACCATCCCCATATACAGTAGCTAATTGCTGTAGCTGCGCTGGCATGCAGCTATTTCTGAACTGGAAAAGAAAAATCTCTCATCCTCTACATGACTGGCAAATGTCTAGAGCTGCAGTTAGAGAATGCATTAAACCTAAACCTTACTCCTCTGAGAATTGAGACCTGCATCACACAGCTTAGTATCAGTAAGAAACAGACTAAGGAAACAACAGATAACTAGTGAGATTACGCTTTACCCTGAGTTTTTTGTTCAAGTAACCTCCTCCGTTCCTCCATATCCTTTTCTGGAATGCCCTCCATGCCATAGATTTCCAGTTCAATGTCTGTTCTTCCAGGAATAGCATTTGGAACAGCATCTATTGTTTCTTTATGTACCTAAAGGAAAAAGAAAAAAAATAATCCTCCTGACCACGATTCAGGTTAGAGTCTACATGTTCTTCATCCAGTTTCAAGATAAAAGAGAAACATCCTTAATGGGAATAATCTCCCTGGCCAAGCATTTTCTTGATACGTGCTTCCTAATCACTGTTAACTACAATTAGCTTCTAAAATGTTTATATAAACTTGTCTTCTGAACACCAAAACAATACAATTTCTTCCCTCCTCCTACACCTCAAAAATGACAGCAGAGAACTCTACTGCATACTCTCCACATGACTGCTGACACAGCAGGACTCCTGTTCTGGAAAAAGACCATTGCTGTCTTTTTCTCATCAGTTTTTAAGACTCTGGAAGCCCCCAATGCCCCACCCCTACCCCTTTTTAAGTTCACTATTGTTTCCAACCTTAGATACTGTTAAGAAAAGCTTATACAAGTCTAAAATTGCTTACCTGCATGCAATGTATAGCTAAACCAGGTCCTGTATACAGTTTCTTATGACATATATGACATTTAAAGTGCTTTGCTTTTTGATGCTGTATAAGGATTTTTTCATCATCAAAATCCCTGTTACAGTACCTATTGAAAGCTGTTAAGGAAACATTTAATCCTGAAAGTGACCTTCTATATAACACTAAGTTAATTAGCATCATTCTGATTTTTTCTAAAGCAAAAAACCTCAACCAATCAAAGACCGGAAGCATCTCTGAGCATTCAAAGCACGACAAACATTTCAGTGATGTCTGAAATGACACCTCTCCCTCATACCATTCAGCATTTCCCTCTTCAGACAGATGCGTGCACACAATCAGAATCGTGATTTGATTTCACACTCTTTGACACATGCCTTTCAAGCCCTAGTTATTTCTAAATGGAGTCATTCCTTCGCCGTGTACATGTACATTAAAATAAAGTTGTTAATGCAATGAAGAAGAAATAGACTTGAAATCCACAAAAGGGAAGTGATGCTAAATACTTAGAAGTACTGTCTATTTAATGACAAGTATCAGTAGCTAACATTTACAAAACAAATGTTTCCAGTTAAAAATTTATTTCCTTTTTCAGTCATCCATCCATTCTTATGACACCTAAAACAGAAGCATAGATGCCTTCCAACATAAAACAGTGCAGAAAAAAAATATATCTCAGAGCGGCTTAGAAATTCCTTTATTAAACAATTTTACATTGGGCAGAAACTTTTTAGAGAAAAGGCAAATCTGTAATCACCCCCACAACAAAAAGCAGATTGTGAAGGAGTAAAAAGCGGTATTTCCGGATACTGAGAAATTATACGAGGTTTTGATGCAGCAATTACAAATCTGAAAGGCCTCCTCTCCACCCCCAAAAAAAATGTTTTCAAAAAGCCTCTTTTAAGCACATCTTCCCCCTTCTTAAAGAACTCTATTTATCAGAGGCAGGATTTTCTTCTGCTAACAATCTTTCCCCCGTGAGATAAAGGCCGTTCTCCATTTTCCCCACGACCTCGGCAATCCGGCCGGGCCTATCCACAGGAGCTGCAGGGACAGCCGGCCGGAGGAGCGGCGGGCCTCCCCGCCTT